TATTCTAAAAATTAAGGTCTATTAATTTAAAAATGAAGTCAATTTAAATTTAGTTTGGTTCTACCAAGTACGGAATTTAGATCAATTAGAGTTCCTGATGTGGTAAAGGACAGAAACAAGTCTGCTGCTACTTTTGGAATCATAATGCACTAAATGCCTAGGACAGTGCAAAAGTCACAAAGACCTTCCTTCCCACCTTGACATTAGCACTGCAAGTTGCACACATCTTAAATGAAAATGGGTTATCACTTTCTCCTCAGTTCACTTAATTTATCCATAAAGGTGGCAGAATACAAGACCTCCAAATGTCTTCTCTTCTCACACTAATAAGAGATATAGTTTTGATCTGATGAAAATATATGAAATTCAATTCCTTATGCACCAGAAATATAAAGATCAGCACTCTTTAACTCCTATGTACACTCCTAAATTCATTGTTTGTGTTATTTAATTTAATCCTCAAAATAACTGTAAGAATGAAGTGTAATAATTATCCCTGTTTTATAGGTGAAGGAATTGTGGCTTCTTCAGGTAAATTTCCTAAGGTTGAAGATCCAGATTCAAACTAGGAGAAGGATTCAAGGCCTTTTCTCAGAAAACTCATAAAATTTATCACAGATTATATTTTAATAATCTGAAGAAAGAATAGTCACAACAATGGAACTAAGACTGTACCAAGACATGTAAAACTCCTCCATTTTTTGTCAATCTGAAGATTTCAAGTGAATATTTTTATAAGCATAAGTGCTATCTTAGTGTTATCTGTGCAGAAGGACTATGTACCAGTCCAAGTGTGCATATGTGCAAATGCTTGTGTGCTATAAGGTGCAGAACTAGAGAGCAGAAAAGAACAAGAAATATTTTAAGACACTGTAAAAGTGTCCTGAATTAATTCTGGATTAATAAATTGAACAAGTCACCAAATATCACTATATAATTTCTGACTGCTATACTGAGGAGAGATATATAAGTTTATAAATCTGATCCCTACCTTGTTTCCAATTTACACAGTGTGGAAAGTGACATTGGCTTTCCAAAACCTTATGTTTGGACCCCTTCCATCTTTGCTGACCATTAAAATGAATAATTCAGTGGGCTTGGAACAGCCCTATTAGGCCACGCCAAACTTTATATGGATTGTGTACTTTAAGAGGTTAATCTAGCGAGCCAGCTCACTTTGTTCAGAAGTATTAAATGGAAAGACTGTAACATTCAAAGAAAAGCAGAGTTCAGTGGGTAAGACCCCAATAATATAATGGAGCATAAAACCTCTAGAATTTTTTACCATGATATTTTATGAAACTTATGCACACATTCACTGGAACAGAATCCAATTGGTTGTGAAGGTCAGTTCAAAGTCACGATATATTCAGTACCTTTGTGAGAAATGTGTACTATTTGAAAACCACGTAGACCCACAAACTTCCTTTTCCTATTTTATGGTTTATTATCAGTCCAGCAGTGTACTATACTAAGGGAAACATTCACTTACTACAACATGATATAATTTGCAACCAAAACATAAAGTTCAGTAAAATACTTGAAATTTTAGTATCAACAAATCCTTGTGTTTGGAACAAAAGGAATCACAAAGAGTAATTATAAATGAAAGTGTACTTTCTATGTGGATAATACATATAAAAACTGAAAACAGCTATTTTATCCTCAACTTTATTCACCACAAACTATAAATGCCTTTGATGTTCAATATTGTGAAAGGAGAAAAAGATCCTCAATTAGTATATTTAAAAGAAAAGAATAAATTAGGAATGAGCCTGATTGGAGCCAACTATTTGTATTATTGCAGTGTTTTCAAAATGCTCAAATTTTGTGAGCAACTATGATTATCCTAAGGGGAAGGAAGTAAAGGTCTACTTTGTATGACAAAGGTCAGATTTCTTCAGGCAAAAGAGACTCCTATAGCTGACTGTTCCTAGGTTGCACTGTCTGGCTGGATATTAAGAGGTCAAGAAAGGTTCCAAATTGTGCTCACCGCTTAAGGGATACCCATGGGGCCACTTTAATCATTTTAAGGTCATTAGGATTCTTCTTACTTCGGTTGCATGTTACTCCCTCCAATTTTGCTAATATATCTAATATATATTATCATTTCAGTACTGATGTAGGTTAAAAACAAATTGAAAGCACTTAGTATGACATGCAACGCAAAAGATAGAATCCACTTATTTAACAACTTCTTTTAAATCTGAATTTGAGTTCAATGAAATTCAAGTAGACCACAGAGAGTAATAATCAGGCCCCAAAAGAAAATTTTGACTCTGTTATAGCTGTCCTGGTATTTGGACTGAATGATCAATGCCACTACTTTAGATTTTATTGAGTATGATGTAATTTTTTGCAAAAATTATCTTAAACAGTTTCCCCACAGAATCACTAAAATACAACAAATTCTGCATTAAAATTTTTAATTTGACTATATTTTAATACTCTTCTATTTATTGCAAATATATCTAAACTTTCTCCAGAGGGTTGAATAGATACCAAATGGATTATATTTCTGAAAGTTTGAAGAGTTCACTCTATTTGCAATTAATGAAGAGTATTTCTAAGTATTTCAGACAGTGTGTAGAAAACATCTGCACTTAATTATTTCATACTTTTCTTAAACAAACAATGGGAATTGAATTAAGGAATATTTTGGAATCCCTATAGAGGTATAAAAGTATTAATGGTTTCTGATAACTTTATCAGTAATATATCTGAAAGTTTGTTTTTATAGCTCAATAGCCCAACACTTCATAAATATCAGAATTTCAATATGAAGGGAATAAATTTGTAAGACTGAGTAAATATAGGAAATATACACTAGAAAGGAGAAAGGATGTATCTTCACTATTTTAATATATCACATAGACAGGCACACAGAATACCTTTCATATTGATAGAGATTTAAATAAATTGCTAGCATATCCTGAGTAGGATTTTTCTTTGGATTTTGTTGTGGATTGAGAATTTCTACAAGAATAAATTAATAGCTTGCTACTCACTCCTCACAGAAGAAAAATCCAAATCTGTTCTCATGGAAACAGTGGGACACAAAGTATGGTTTTTCAGTACTTGTCCTTAAGTATTGAAAAAGATCAGATTTTCTATCTGGATGCTTACTGGCTCCAAATGCCACTTCTTTTCAAAGTCAGTGTCAGTTCTGCAGTCAGTTTTCAATCTCCCAGTGGTAAGAATATATTCAAAGGCTGTGTGCACAGCAGGGTAGAAGTCTTTCTCCCTGAATGTAACTGTATCACTCATCAGTAACCTCCTGCCATAAGGGGGACTTGTGTTTTCTTTCCTTTTAGTGACTCTTTGGGCCCCTGAATGCCAGTCACTGCCCTGAGACCTGGGGCAATATTCACATAATCTCTGTCAGTAGTTCCTATAGAGGCCAGCGGTGCAACTAAATGTCAAGGCTGCAGATCAAAGTCTCCACATTCTAAAACTCATGTCCTTTATGGATCAATTTTCATAAACTATACTCCATGGTTCAGAAATATGTGGAGACTCTCTCTGCTTTCTTTCTTGTGTCCCAGAGAAGTTTATTTATATGAAAGGCAATCTGATTTGTGGATAAAAGTGTGAAATTCTGATGCAAGACATAAAACTGTATCCTTCCCTTTGCATAGCCTTCTCGAAATAATTTTACTTCTTAAAGTATTTTACTATGTCTGTCATGTTAAAGTAGAAATGGAAAACTCTTTGAGCCATTAAAATAAAAAAGCATGGATTGCTTTGCAATTCATGATCATCCTTTCCCAATGCCTGCTACACTATGAGCTGGATGGTAGGTAAAAAGTTCTTATTCATGATTGATTTTATTTTTAAATCTTCATTATGCCACAGGTAAATTATATGACAGAAAAGTTTCAGCATGTGTTTTTTACAATCTATATCCATTTTAATTATTCAAAATTGCTGGGAAATGGAGTATAATTATTTGAAATCATTTTCACTCAGTAGATTTCATATACAATTATAGAGAACTATACTTCTCTAGTATAGTAGGCCTGAGTGAAATAGAATAGATCAAACTATCTTCTCTGAATACTTTTTCAGATCAATTTGGGGTATACAGATTTTTTAATTTGTAGCTTTTTCTAAAGAACAATGCTTGGAAAACACCACCAGATTACAACAGATTGTATACAAATACTATTTATCCCCTTATAAATTGCTAAAGTTTAAATGTATTTAAACTAGCTAGAGTTTAAAAGTATTTATTATAAAGGTTAAGAGCATATAGCACATTAAATGCATGTATATCAGAAGGTCAAAACAGGATAAAAGGGAAAAACAAATACAGGCATTTGTAGGGCTATTTACTAAATTCCAAAGAGAAGCTCTGCTGTCCCAGTTTCCTTAAGAAAATTTTGATAAAATTATATATGTTTATTAGGCACAAAGCTTTACTCTGAGTTCTCCTGTAATATGTGAGACCTTAGGCAATTTACTTACTCAGAAGGTAGCTTTGGCTTTACATGCTTGTGCCATTCAACCAATGAAAATGTAAAGTTTTTAAAACATGTAAGGAAAAGGAAGGTTATTATTCCCATTTTTGTAGCAAATGGTTGAGATTCTACAGAAAATAAGATAAATGGAGAAAGTCAAGGTCCTTATTAAAGGATTAAAGGATCCTTATTAAAGGATCCAATTGAAATTTTCTGAGAAATCAAAATTTCTATTTTGCTTTTGTCTATTACTTATTACTAAAATCTAAATATGATAAAATTTTAAGTTAGAAAAGCTAGATTGATTATATACTGAATCAACTGATATACAAGGAGGTGTGTGCCTCTCTGCTTGTCTGCCTGTGTGTGTGTACACATACATGTACCTACCACAGGTTTTTGCTTATGCTGAAGGCAGAAGTGGAGAGGGCATAATAGCTATGGTTGAAATCCTTCAATTTTTCTTTAGAAGCATGGCAAAATGAAACTATGAGTATGTTATGGAAGAGCAAATGGAGTTTTCTTATTAAGCCAACTTACCAGTTTTTCGAAGGGGAAAATCATCCTTTGTATCATGCGCTCCCGGTAATGTGTATTTGTAGGATGGAGATGTTCCACTCAAGGGTGGAGAGCTTTGATCCAGTGATGTGTGGTGGGCAGCCCTACAAAAGCAAAAGATGGTTCACCATTTACACTGTAAATTTTTACTGCATGTTGGTCAGCAATAATCAGTTGCATATGCTGTACATGTGTCTCAGTCTGTGTTTATGTTCTTTCTTTCAGTGTGTACAAACCACAGCCTCATGTAACCAAGTTCGCTGTAGTAGTATTTTGTGGAGTGATATAGGATTCCCAATAATGCCCACTGTGTGTTTGGTAACACAGTCACATAGATAATTTCACTTCACTGAAAAAATTTACCATGAGCCTGAGCCTTGGATATCTGAGGTGATTGTGCATATTTTCTTAAAAGCCATCCTCCTGAAATCCAGTGATGCAGAACAAACAAGGTAGAGGTAAACACATGGAAGAATTTCATTGCACTAGATATAGTACATGCTATAGTATACAAATATATGAATGACTATATGAATGAATGAGTACATGTACATGTATAGTACATGAATATAGTACATATAGTATTTTGCTGAAGAGACAGTTCTGTGTCCACAGCCATGCCTCTGGATCACATACAATGTTGTAAACCATGTTACCTCAATAAAAATTAATTAAAAAAAAAGAAAAATATATTGGAGATCGTTTTCTTCTTCAATATAAAAGTGATTTTTTAAAACATCTTCTAAAGCCTGCAGTATTACAGTGAAAGAAGAGAATAGTTTATACTCTGACCACAGAACTAAACAGACTCTTCAGTGGCTATATAGTCCATAAGGGATAAGGGGTATATTACCACCATGATGATTATTCTACCAGTATTATTTAATTGAATGATACTTTTAAAAGCATTAACTGGCTTAAAGATATTTCACCTAGCCACAACTAGAAAAAAACTACTAAATTCAGATTCCATAAATTAATGATTTATGATTGTCTGGACCCTACTGAGGTAAAAAAAGGATTGCTAAGTCACACTCAGAGCCATGTTTACTATACCCAAGGGGAAGGCTAAAGAATTCGCAGCAGACAAATTGTTGCATGGAGTTGTCTCCCATTAAAAAAAGGTATTATCTTGTCTTAAAACAGTCTGTAACTTTAAAGGATTATGAATTTGTCATAAATTATGTATGAGATTTTAGGTAGTAAAATATTTATCTTAAAATATGTTGTGATGATGATTGAACATTTGAAAAATTTCTCAGGGATTGGTTTCTTAAATCAACTTACATACATGATAGAAATTATGTAATCTATTAAAAATTATTTATGAAGCATTGTGGAATCTGCCTCAGTTACCAGATGCCAAGAAAGGTAGGTAATGCTTTCAAAAGTATCATTCAATTAAATACTGTTAGAATAATTGTCATGGTAGTATAGCAAACTCTTTAAATAGAGATCATAGGGCACTTACAATTTCAATATAGCGAGTAATCAAATGTTTACTCCCTTATCTTTGATAAAGTAAGTATATGAACCTATGGTCATTCAGCAAACATAAATTGAAAGAAAGGAAATCATTATCTATTAGTCTATTATCCAATTATGCTTTCCATTAAGTTTTTTTCCTGATTTTCAAAAACACCAGGTTCTTCTTGTTTTGCAGAAAGAATTGTTTATTTCATAGTATCTCTTTACTGGACTTGGGGAAATGTGGTTTAATAAAAACTCTAAGACCAATGTCTTGTGATTTTGTGTGTCAGAAGCCAATCTGTTCTAATTTTATTGAGTGTGAAGACATAAGGTGAAGTGGGCAGAGGCAGACTAGTCACTGAAGACTTGCATTTATGTGTTAGTTATCTTCATTCTCTTCTCTTTTTCTCCCCTACCTCCCTGTTTTAAAATTTAAGTGAAAAATCTGGACTTAAAAAAAAAATGCTGTGGATCTTCATATTATATCAAGCCAAGTAAAATAAAATTTCAACCTGCCAAATTTTCAGAAATTAAGATACCTGGTATATCATCTGAGAATAGAAAAATAGAAAATATTAATTAATTTCTATGTACCACACTTGTCAGTTATTCATTCATCAAAAACATACTTATTTCCTTGTTCTCAAGATGATACTTATTAACATTATTAAGCACTGCTTTCTCTTAGTACACATTATTTCACAGGACCTTCCCATCAGCCCTAAAGGGCAGGTATTATTATCCACTTTTTCAGAGAAGGAAACTGAGCTTCAGAGAATTCAGGGAACTTGCCCATAGTCACATAGTTCCTTGATTTGTGCCCAGATCAGCTAAATACAGAACTCGTGGTCTTCACCCCTTTGAATGTAAATAGCCAAGCACTGAACATACGTGTACCAGAGCTTGGGATGGCGGCTCACGGAATGATTTTTTCCATTAGTTGGAGTGTCTTTTGTTGCTGATTTACTCAACAGGAATTCTTGAAGCTTCTGCTTTACTTCTGTACTTGCCACTGCCCCTGAAACACACACATACAAAATAAGAGGTTTATTTGGAATTTTATCTTTTCATACCTCTAAAGTATTTAACACAAATAAGAAATAATACCAATGGTCACCGTATATGAAGCTTGTCTATTAAAAGAAGAAAACTGAGTCCAAACAGGCTTTAGAAAATGGAATATTAATGTTTTGTAACTACTGCTTCAATTGTCAATTTTAATGATTTCTCTAATCACTTTTGCAGAATGGGGAATGCCAGAATTAATACTAATTATTTTCTAAGCTTTAAAAGCATATTTTCCAGGAATCTTTCAATATACTGCCTTTAAAAATCAAGAATCTTGGGGAACCCTAAGTGATTGAACACATTAAAATTATTTTTTCAGACTTGCTAGTTTGGAAAAACAACTTTAAAAAATCTTTTGAGCATTAAACAACACTGCTGACAATTCCATTTCAAGTCATCACATTTTGAATCTTGCTACAACCTGATTTTGAACTGACCTCATAGAAGGGAATTATTTGGATCTGTCTCCCTCTTGTGGAGATAAATATATATATATATATACATATATATATATATATATATATATATATTCTTTCTCTCTCTCTCTCTCTCTCTCTCTCTCTCTCTCTCTCTCTCTCTCTGTGTGTGTGTGTGTGTGTGTGTGTGTTAAACAAATATTCTGCCTGGAATCTTTGCAAAGTCTGGGTACTCAAAACTAAATGAAGGCAAGGCTTGACTTGCAGAGCAATTATTACTTGACCAGGAGGAAGATATAGTGGGGGGAATGTGGAAGTAAGTTTATTATTAAACAGAAGGCTTAACTAGATTGCTTTAGTATAATATTATTTTTAAGATTCAAAACAACAGAAAGTAGCCTCTTAGCCAAACATTGCTATGTTTACTTCAGATGTTCTGCAGACCGAATGGAGAGAGCTGATAGGTGAATGTCAAAGCTTAACATTTGGGTCCATAATTTATTCCTTTTAATGAACAGACAATTTTGACAAGTTTAACTCCATTCTTTATCAGGCTTCTTTCAGAATGTTATTCTGCTAAAGATGAGCAAAGAGAGTTCATCTTTTACCCTGGTGCCTCTTACTTTCTCGTCCTCTATCTTTGCCTCTGAGAGCAGGAAGCTGTTGTTCTCTGCGATGCCTCTCTACTTCCTGTTCTTGCCTCTGTTGCTCCAGTTTCTGCTCCTTTTCTAGGAGTTCTTGTTGCTGTTTTATGGCTAGAAGTTCCTGTTGCAACTTACGAGAAGAGAAAGACATGAGAGTGTGCAATTTCTTTAGGCATCACAGTCATCAGTGACCAAAGTGAAAATGTTATGAGATTTTGGAACTTGCTTGTATTTTGCTTACATTTCTACCCCCATTTCTGGTAAATTATTGAACGATAAAGAAAATCAATTAATGCCACAGGTGGTCTTAATAACATCAACAAGCAAGTTTTTAAGACACTTCATTACCCACCAGTATTGCCCTATCAAAACATTAGCAGATTCACCCATATTTTCAATTCCCTGAGTAACTCTTGTATGTACATCTGAAATATACAATAACAGGCAAAGGCAGGAGGTATATTTTACCAAATCTCTTATTGTAAATAAACTTGATGAATCTTTATTTCTTATCCTGTGAAACTGGATGAAAATAAATAGAATGAGGTATCAATTAGTTCGGAGGACGTCTACCTGGAAGAGAATGAATGCCAAATATGTCCAAATCTTACAGAAGCCATTTTTCATAGACTAATGTGAAATATATAATAGTAAGTTCATCTCTCAAAAAAGCAAAAAGTTTAGTTTGTTCATTGAGCACACAAAAACCTTCAGATTTGAGAGATTGGTCAAGAAAAAATCAACTCCATAGAGCCTCACTTTGATACACTGTTGTTTGGCTGTCTGACTACCTTGAATTCACTTACAGTGAATTCCATGAAAATGAAGTATTCTTAATAAGTATTTTCAGATGCCAGTTTTCTTTCAGAATGAGAAACAGGCATCTATAAATATTGTGAATGTACCTGCAGGGGAACAATTAAAGACTTTGAATTCTACTTAGGCTCTGACCTGACTAGATATGAGATCTGAACAGTTTACAAACTAGAGTATTGGTTCCTCATCCGTAAGACAGGAATAATCTCCCACACACATCATGTTCATAAAGTACATGAAATTTAATTTTTAAATTTGAGCCAAATGAATGTTAATTATTATTACTATTTTTAAATCTCAGTATCACTGCAGTTAGTGTAATTTGTTATATTCTTTAGGTACCTGAAACTATGATGTTTATGTTGAAAACTATTAGAACAAAAATAAAAGGTAAAGTGTAATGGCATCAGAGTCACCATGGAGCAACTAGAAGTCACCTCTTTATGTCAATCATGATAGCATCATTATGGCTAGAAAGACATAGTTAGATGCATTTCTGCATACCTTTCATAGTAAAATCTTTGGCATTTTGACTTTGATACACCAGTTTCTTAATGAGTATTTTTTATATATTCCATTGTAAGAAAAATGTCATAACTCTACATAAATTTTAATATTGATCTGATGCAGATATTAGTGTTGGTCAAATTGATTCAGTTTTTCACCAGAAGCCCCAAGAGAGTTGAAATTTAATCTCCATTAAGAATCGAGAAAAGCACACAATTTCATTTTCGTAGCTACTATCCATTACTGAAGATTGCAGGAATGAAGTTGAAAAAATATAAAGAAACAAAACTTCACACCACCCCAATTTCAGATGTTCTGGACCAGGAGAGAAGCAGGCTGATGTAGTAGTTTCAAAGGCTTAATGAAGGCAAGAGTACAAATCCTGGGGCAATCACTTTCTAGCAATGTGGACTTAGACAAGATATGGAATTTCTCTTTGCCTCTGTTTGAAAGGTAGAAAAAATGTATAACAGCATCTAACTCAACAGAAATCAAATATTCAAAACTTCAAAACACTACTACATAAAAAGCATCATTCACTGTTTCCCTCACGTAAATAAAATCTAAATGAGTATTAGAAGAACCAACTTTTAGCCTTACCCACAAAAAGTAAATAAAGATTTAAAAACTTTTTAACCTTAAAAGAAAATTTTAAGTATATCTTTAGTTTCTGAAAGAACAGCCTGTTACTTTGGAAAATAATTTCAAAAGTTAAATTTTCCTTTTATTTATATCAGAATCTTTATTTTCAAGAGCCTCCTCTTTTCCAGCATTTTTCAAATGTTAGTAAACATATATTTGCTTGGAACAAATTAATGATTAAACACAAACTTGCTGCTATTAATTTTTGAGTAAAAGTAAAAAATAAATTACTTAAAGATTTTTATATTGATATCAACAAGTACAAAAGGCAGCAAAAAAAGTGACAAGAAATATCTAAGTCAGTAGCTTATCAGTATTGCCTTGTAGTCGGGGCAATATGACTCGTGGATGGTAGAACAAACAACATATAGCTACTACCACCTTCACATATGGTGAAAAATACATCTTACTCATTTATCATTGCAATCCTAACATGCCAAGAATGAATGAAAAAAGGAAATCTAGAAAACAAATTTCCTACTATTGTTTCAAAGGACAAAGTGAAACAATGCTTTGAGAAACTTAAAAAAAAATCAAGCTCTGAACCTGTGAAGGTTTCCTGACTATAAAATATAGCCACAGCTACTGATTCTACAGGGAACCCAATCCAAAATTCTCACTCTTGTTGAAGATCAGTAAATTGTAAGAGTTCTTTTACTTACATTGACTAGTAAAAGAAAAAAATATATATTTTATATCAGGTACTGAAAATTCTTTTTTGGAAAGTAAGAGAAACAGATTCCCAGGCTAAGGAGATAGCTCATCAAACAAGGTACATAGGGAAGAAGATAGCAATTTTGCCTTCTCAATACTCTAATGTTAATGTGGTAAAATTATTCAATGTAAACATAGACCAATTATCTTATTAGTCCTACATGAATGTGCTTGTACTTGATATGCAAGTGTACAATAAAATATGATATAATATTACAATTTATTGTATTAATAAGTTATCAGTTAAATCATTTTTTGAACAATTGGACGTTATAAAATTTTGTTATGAACTCTTTTTAAAGATTTATTTATTAATTTATACAAGAACCAGGGTACAGGCCAGATGTGCGGGAAGGTAAGAGGATTCACCAGACACAGAGCGGGGAACAGAACAGGCAGACTGATGAAATACACTGCTGAGGGGAGCAGCGGGCGAGACAGGAGAGGTCTGCATGCCATGTGGGACCCTTGCCGGCCGGCCGGCCGGGATCAAAGCGCTGTTGCAGAGGCTGCGGAAAGCTTCACAGCTTGGCTCTCAACCACCTGTGCCACCAGGGGAGGCCCCTGTTATGAACATTTGCTGCTTTTTATTACTGTCATAATAAATACAAATTGAACATCTATTGAACATCTAAGGCCAAAAATAGCTTTGTTTTAATTGTCTGTGTCAAATAATTGAAAGACATTTTACAAATAAAGACAAGAAAATAGATACATAGAAAAATCTAAAATTATCTGATAATAAGTCTATCATAAAAACATATAACAAGGCCATATTTCTCTTATAATACTTTGAGCAATTCAGGTCTCTAGTTCTTAACCATACCCTAAATTCTTTCAATAAATTCTTAACTGTAGCCTGTTAGACACATATAAAAACAATGAAATGGTTTGCACCAGTTTCTTCATAATTCTCTTGCGCTTCTATGTTATCATTTTGAATACATACATCGAGAGGTCTTTCATAAGCAAGATTAGGACATAAACAGAACACCTACTTATAAACCAAAAAATTCAAAAAGTGGGAGAGGTGCTCTGTTCACATAAAGTGACTAATTGATCTTTTCTAGTAAATAGCATGTTCAAATTATTTAGTAATACAAAAGGGATTTTCCTAGGCTCATGGTTCTTGGTGGTGAGTGGATGAGGCAATTAAACAAAATCATTTAGAAGACAATCTAAACACAGTGAGATTACTAGTCTCTATTATTGACATTATAAACTAAAGAGTAAAAGAATAGTAGAGTTCCCTCCAGGAAGAAAAGCAGCTTTTTAGTCAGTATTCTTACTACTTACCTAAGATTTTCACCAAATTTTAGAGCAGAGGATAAAAATTGGCAGCTTAGATGTCATTTCACACAATTACAAACACAATTTCCTTCAAGTCACACTTCCACATCTCAATCACAGTGAAACTTCCCCCCAATGCATCTTCTTATGCCCATTTTAGGGTGTAGGCTCCCTGCAGAAAAGGTCAGAGACAAAGAAACATTTGCTACCTTGATGTGCTCTTGAAGCTGGGCCTGGTGCTGCCGGGTTAAGTTCTCATGCTGTTTCTGAAACTCTGCAATCAGGAGCTGCTTCTGGATTTGCTGCTGTTGCTGGATGAGGAGTAGCTCTTGCTGCAGTTGTTTCTCACGGACAACAGGATCCACCACGGGCATCATCATCCTGAGATCTGTCCTTAGGTCTAAAGGTGAGATGGGCTCCAGGCCTACAGGAACCTCTGACTTCACATCCACTGGAGAACCGGGAAAAAAAAGAGAGGGAAGACAAAGGATAGGAAATTAGCACATTGATTTGGAAATTAAAAAAAGTAAAAGCGGGCCTCCTTGGTGGCGCAGGCAATTGAGCGAGCGCTGTGAAGCTGTCCGCAGCCTCTGCAGTGCCAGCTTGATCCCTGCCGGCCACGGAGCAACCCACAAGGTGAATGGATCTCTCCTGTCTCGCCCACTGCTCCCTTCAGCAGTGTGTTTCGTCGGTCTGCCTGTTCTGTACCCGGCTCTGTCTCTGGGTGGATACTCTCACCCTCCCCGCACATCTGGCCTGTGCCCCGGCTCTTGTATAAATAAAAAAAATTTAAAAAAAAATTAAAAGATACTCTACCACATACAATAAATTTTACATCAACAATTCTATACATTATTTTACAATGATGATAAAAAAAATTTTACATCAGACCATATATTAATTTTCACTCAACAATTTGTACTCTCCATGAATCTTCTACATCTTTCTCTCTCTCTTAAAGACATGAGTCTAAATTGTTCATTGGTTCCAAGTCATTCATAAAATTTATTCTACTGGATAACTTATGAAATCAACTCAGGACAAAAAATGCAATACTACTGAGGGAAAGGTGCCATATCATAAACAGAAAACTTTGAACACAACTAAATTTGTACACTTAAGAACATTTTTCTTTGTAGCCAGAGTTAAAAGACAAACTTTAAGATAAATCCCTTAACAAGTAAAGTTTTTAATGTAATGGATTCGCAAGGCTATTGGACCTAGCAAAAAAAAAATGTAAATCTCCATGCTAAATGTTAGTAGATTAAATGGTGAGTAGATTAATCAGTAACAGTAATGGTGCCAGGCCCAACTACAGAGGAATGAAAGTAGCCTAGTTTCTATATACTGGTTTTTAAATTGCAATAATCTGTATCTTAGTTACCTCATGCCTAAAAAAAAAAAAAAGGTAGAAAAAGTGTGAGGAAGTAGAAAACAAATATCCAATCACATCACAGATGGAAGAAAGATTTGATGATCTGAGAATAATTATAAAATATAACATTTAAATCTGTCAAAATTAAATTAGATAATGTATATAAAAATTCTTAGCACAACTCCTAGTGGAGGGGAACGATGATTTCTATGGAGTGGTCTAAGCACAAAAGCTCACAGACGGAACAGACATGTAGATATACTAGGTGTTCATGGCAGGTATCCATTCTGCTTAGTTGGTTTCTACGCCAAACTTAAGTATTTTGAATGTGATATTCTCCCACAGGATCATGGAAGTTCTATAGTTGAATCAAACAGGTTGAGTTAAAGAATACAGGGATTTGGGAAGGGAAAACAGTGCACTGGATTGCAAGACTTTTCTAAAGTTGTCAGCCACTACTGAAATCAATCAACTATTGATAAAAAAGAGAGAGAAAGAAAGAAAATACAAACTCAGTGTAGTCATCTAGTTTTCAACTGAAAAATAACTTAACAGATTTAAACAGTACAGAAACCAAAAACAAACAAACAAACAAACAAAAAAAAAACACCTTCTATAATTTGATTCTGACATGCAGGATGCCAATTTTTAGGCTCTTCTCTAAACTCTAAACAATCGTTATTATTCTTCTGTTTTACACTGAGAATATAATTTAGCTTCTCTAAGACTCAGTTCCCTCATATTTAAAATGGTGATATTTACAGAGAGCATAGCATTGTTAAAAGGAATAAATGGGGTAATGCAATAAAAAATGTAAAACAGGGCCTCCCTTGGTGGCGCAGCAGTTGAACGCTGGGCTGAAAAGCTGCCCGCAGCCTATGCAGCGCCGGTTTCATCCCTGGCTGCTCCCCAGCCACCGGATGAGGGTCCCACATGGCACGCAGACCTCTCCTGCCGCCCGCTGCTCCCCTCAGCAGTGTACTTTGGTCCTTCTGCCTGCTCTGCTCCCCGCTCTGGCTCTGGTGAGTTCTCTCACCCTCCCGTGCTTCTGACTGTACCCAGTGCTTGTATAAATAAATAAATTTAAAAAAGAAAAGAAAATTAAGATTCTGATTACTCTAAAGTCTTTTAAAATAAAAAAAAAAATGTAAAACATGTAGCCCATCCTTCAAAAAATGCAGTGGTTGTTTTTTATTACATGAAATGGGAATTTTCTGTATAGTAAAATAAGTCATTAACAGTGTGTGGTTAATAAGATAAAAATACTAGGAGCAAGAACAAAAATGAAATTAAATAATAAATTAAATTGATTTATAGAAAACTGGAAAGCGTAAGGAAAGGAATACTAAATAATTTTTAAAAACACCATAACTTGTACAGAGATGTAAATTTTAAATCAAAATAAGGTATTGTTTTCTAATGATTATATCTCATAAGCAAGTAGAAAACATAAAATATCACATATATAACATGTATATACAAAATCCCATTGTATAGGATAAGCATGACTTATATAGACAACTATATATTGCAAGTGGCACTGCTAATTGATTTAAAACTTTTGAAAAACAATGTGGTGGTATGTAAAAGGGACATTAAACATTTCTACCATATTATTCAGATCTGGCAACTGTAAGAACACATCTGAAGAAGATTATACAAAGAAAAATAGCTAAATATCATATTAACCTCAAGTATTATTATTTTAATTAAAGTCACCACCTACAAAAAAATGTTTAATACATAGAACATCCATTTGGTGGAAAAATATGCAATCGTTAAAAATAATATTTATGGGACCATGAAATATGTTGTTACAATATTAAGTGAAAAAAGTAGAAAAAAAGTGATATACAAACACTGTAATAATATTAACTAAATAAAATTTACTTTAGTCAAAAAACATTCATTGAGAAACTTAAATTCCCAGTCTTATTCTGATTATAGATTTTGGAGTTAAGTGGTAAAATAAAAAGACAAAAACTCCAGCTATCACAGAGTACATAGTACACTGAGATTTTAATTATCTTAGCATCTGCATTTTACTTTATTATTTTTAAAGATTTATTTATTTATACATACAAGAACTGGGGTACAGGTCAGAGGTACAGGGGGTGAGCAGAATGACCAGAGACAGAGGGGGGAGCAGAATAGGCACTGAAATACACTGCTGAGGGGAGCAGTGGGTGACGCAGGAGAGGTCTGCTGGGCCATGTGGGAATCTCCCCGGCCAGCCGGGATGGAACCTGTGCTGCAGAGGCTGTGGACAGCTTCACAGCCCTATGCTCAACCCGCTGGGCCACCGGGGAGGCCCCAGCATTTGCATTTTAATAGCAAAAACTAGTGAGATATACAACAGAAGATGGTTATATTTTGGGAAAAAATATGAATAATTTTCTACCCTCTGCTTTTTAATTTTTTATGCATACAAGAACATGGGTACAGGCCAGAGGTGGGGGCAGGAGTGAGAGGATTCACCAGGGAAAGAATGGAGAACAGAACAGGCAGATTGACTGAATACACTGCTGGTGAGCAGTGGGTGAGTCAGGAGAAGTCTCCTGAGCCATGTGGGTCACTTCCCTGGCCGGGAATAGAACTCGTGCTGCAGTGGCTGTGGATAGCTTCATGGTGCTGCGACTTAATATCTTATGCCACCAGGGAGGCCCACCCCCACTACTCTTTTAAATTATATCTAGTATTCTATTACTATTAGTAACTTAGATTTGCAGATTCCAGGTTAAGAACTACAAAGGTAATATTCCACATGGATTTACAAGCTATTTCAACAAGTCAAGAAAGTCTAAAAGAAATCCTTTCTACTAAGGTTCAGGGTGCAAATCCTGAAACAAACACTAATCTACTTGCTTATCATTGTGTGTACAGCATATGTTTGAGGGGTGGTGCTGATACCAATCTTGGGGTGATAACACAATGCATTCTTCAATATATTGACCAGAAGCTTGCTGGGAAGTACTGCATGTGTAATTAATGAAAATGGTAAAAAAAAATCTATTAATAAATCATACTTTGATGGACAATGGTTTCTAAAACACAGTATTTGTAAACAGAAAGATGTTAACTGTGACAAGTTTGGCAGTAAACGAAGATGATCATCTGTAAGATCTCATGGTCGCAGTGTCCAATGCAGAATTTTCAATGAAGGCTCAAAGAAGGGTCTGAGTAACATGAGATTTTTTTGAGCACTAACTTATAGAGTTGGCATATTTCCAATCAAAAGCAATGCCTGCTAATTATGTATTTCATTTTTTACATAAAATATCCAACTATAGCCTCCAGTTTTCACATGGAGATCCCAATAAACAAAGGTCAGAATTTAACCCTATAAAGATAAAATGTAAAATTTCAAGAGACCCTGGGGTCTCTTCTTGCTGGCATTCTTATTATCCGTAAACTATAAACATCAACCACCTAAGAAAAATCCTTTCCCCCAGAAAAAAAGATAAGGGGAGAAAAATATCCCAGACCTCTCTGAAATTATTATTGTAAACCTCAAAAGGTAATTTGACTTCTTAACCTGCTATCCCAACAGAAATGATTGTGTCTAACTGCTTGCCTTTGTTCAGAGACTAATCACTAAATTGTGAAAAATCACCCTCAACTTACAAAAACTGCTCTTGATTATAAATAATTGCCCAAGACTGAGAGAAAGCGGCAGGCAAGATCCCAGTCTTTCATCCAATTTATTCAGCAGCAATCCACATTCCATTTGTCTAGACTAAATATAGCAGCGTTTATACAAGAAATCAATAGTGCTTGCAGAGAGGAGAGCAAAGGCATGAATATTTCATCAAACTCATAGAGAAATGGCAATCAGCAAACTGATGGTTCTGTGTAGGTCATCTTTGGCCTGCTGGATTAGTTCCCATTACTTGGACAATAGCTCATCTCTGGCTAATCATAATCGTATCATAGTCACTCTTTCTATTTTTAACAGTAATTGCATTGTGGGTGACAAAGGCTCATCGTATTCCAAAAGGAATGATGGATTTTTCTTACATCTTCTGTGACAGGCTAATAAGCCTAACCAGGAGCAATAATAGTAACACAATACCAGG